TCTCTGCCAACGCTTCAGTCGTTCATCACTGACGAAAAATCAAAGAGGTTTTTGTAGAATAAGGTGCTTACCTCACCTCTCCACATAACCAGCTCGATCAAAGCAGGCCTGAGACTGATTGTGAGACTACGAGAACAGCTTTTGGATACCGCGCCTGTAGAAGTCTTTCAACTGGCTGGGGATGAAAGTGTTGACGGCTTGTTTGACCTCTTCCACTGATTCAAAATGAACTCCCCCGCCTTCAGATACTAGATACGGTAAAAAATGGCAAAAAAGACCACCATTTATTCCCCTTTCTATAATCTGAACTCGGGGGAACTCATTTTGAATCAGTGGAAGAGGTCAAACAAGCCGTCAACACTTTCATCCCCAGCCAGTTGAAAGACTTCTACAGGCGCGGTATCCAAAAGCTGTTCTCGTAGTCTCACAATCAGTCTCAGGCCTGCTTTGATCGAGCTGGTTATGTGGAGAGGTGAGGTAAGCACCTTATTCTACAAAAACTTCTTTGATTTTTCGTCAGTGATGAACGACTGAAGCGTTGGCAGAGAAGCTCTTCTCTTGTTGCGGACTTCAAATCTCCGCGGATTCGGCGGGAGCGGCGTGCACGTCGGCGCGTTCAAACGGCTCGCGTTCGGCCGCACATGGTCCGATTTTGTTGCGATTTGTTTTGTTGAACTCAATATATCCTAAGGAAGATTTTGAGCCCAAGTTTTTTAAAATTGGTCCATTCCTATCGATTTTAGAGAGGGGGGATGCTTACTTATTGAACGCCCCTCGTATTTAGTGCAGGAGCAGTGAAAGTGATAACAAAATAAAAATGGAAAATTATGAAGTTCTGATCGCAATTTGCACGCACGAGTCACGTAGCGAAGAAGAAAAAGAGCTGCAAGAGTTATGCTTTCCATCGTTGTCTGATTACGATGGCTGTTGAACAAAATAGAGTCGCGCCGCTCTATTTTGAGTTGCAATACTCATCAATCGCATCAAGTCTCAATGTTGAGACATTTTGAGCTTCCATTTTGACAAGTGGAGACAGCGGTATTTTTGATCAAAAATGAGTCGCACCACCCTATTTTGAGTTGCAACACTCATCAATTGCATCCAGTCCCGACTATGAGCCATTTTGAGCTTTCATTTTTACAAGTCAAGGCAGCACTATTGGTTCTCTTGGCATTATCTGATGAGAGAATTTCATCTGATGGTAAGAGAGTCTTTGTTCACAACATGAACCAGTAGGTATATAGGCTTGCCTAATCCATCTGTCCACCAAATCGCACAATTTAACTGATGTCTAGGGTAACAATTGAAATGATCTCTTACAAGTCGCAGCCGAAGTCATCAAAACCACACAAGAATCCAAAAAAATATTCGACAAACGTTTTGAGGCTGTAAAACTTTAAATAAACTGTTGAATATTTGATTTAGTTGTTTCGCTTTGAATTTGTTTATTTGTTGAAATAGATCTTCCTACACATATCCAATACTTTACTTGGAAAAAGTGTCTTTTTGATCTATTTATACATTCAAACTGTTTCTCAACGTTATAGCGGATCCAGGTCAATGAATAATGATGCGTTGCTGCAGATGGGAATTTCGGGCCCACGTAAGCTTCGTTCGTGTATGCGGCATGTCGCTTAAGCAGTGCGCAGGATGCGCGCGCATTGCGCCACGGCGTGGCGCGCCCGCTTTTCTCCTATGGTGTCTTCCATTGCGCGCGTCATTCCTGGGTGTTTTGCGGCTTTCGTATCGCTGATACGACCGAACAGACGACATTTCCTTTCTTCAGAACCGTAACTTGGAGTTTTCTATGGGAAACAGTGTTACTTTATCTAAAATACCCAAAATTCAACCTGCGTCACTTCTGTCGCATGGGCACTGGGTGAAAATTGTTTTTAATTTTTTTCCTTGCACGAGGCTTCTAATCTATCCACACATCAACTTTGAAAACCAGAACCTCATTCAAATTCGAAAATTTAAAAAATAAGAAACACCCTAGCGCCCATAGTTAGCGGCGTTTTGTCACTAAGTTTTTAAAAACAATAGGGCAATTTTAATCAGAGGATAAATGTGACTGACAAGAGGAGATAAAACGGGTTAGCGTTTGACAAGAGGATAAACGCTTCCTCTGGTTACGTAGCGAGCAGATTTGATCGGAGGTTATGGAACCGGCCCTCAACCAATCTGTGCAATGGTGGGTTCGAATTCCGCCTCCTGATCGGCACTGCCGATTGGTCTATCAGAGGCACAGTTTTAATAGATGTCACCACATCTACACTTAGGGCCAGGGGATCCGCATAAATCAATGGATCTATGGCCAGATCTATTGAGATTTGTTTGGAGTTGCTGTTATATATGTACGCAGCTTGCACCTACCACAGTCAATAGATAAGGAGAGTAAGTAATTAGCCTGCTGCAGAAAAACACTGGGCTACCATAAATGCATCCAATGTTGGCAAATTTTGGTCAGTTGCCTTTTCAAACCCCTCTTAGGAATCCACTAATTTTTTTTCTAATTCAATACCAATTAGAAATTTTTTTTCGTTTTTTTTGTTTTTTGAAATTTCGAATTTCGAAAAATTTGATGGCAGCTTACTTTCGAATGTATACAACTGAAAAAATAAACATTTTTAATGAGACACCAAAGCGCTTCGAGGTTTCATTCTAGGTGGTGCAAGGGTACACGGACAAAATATGAAAAATCAGCAGAATTGAAATTTTAAAATAAATCATATACTCAAAGTCAGAGTGAAAAAATGTTTGCTGTAAATTTTATAAGTTAAAGTAGAATCATTTTCACTGACTTATGAGCAAGCATTAATTCAAATCGGGCATACTTTGCTGAAAAATACATCTTTCTGAGAATGTTGCAATAAATTAGACATTTCTCATAATTAGTCAAAAACCGTATAATTTGTAATGAACATAAGGTTTTTGGCTTTGTTTTCGAAGGAATTGAGGCAGAATGCGGTATTTGACGGTAGAACTTTAACTTTTAAGAATTTAAAAAATTCAGTAAAACTTCGGAAACATGAGAAATGGTTGCAAACCCAGTGATCCCATTCCGTACTTTGGACTGAAACACTTGGACCTGAGTAGTACAGGGTGTCCCAAAGGTCCTCCTTGTAACTTTTGAACAGTTACAGATACAAAAACGAAACTTTGGGAATGTTTCTATCAAATGTTTCATCTTCTAT